CTTAGTCTCCACTAAGTTTTCTATAGAAATACTCAGTCTCCACTAAGTTTTCTATAGAAATACTCAGTCTCCACTAAGTTTTCTATAAAAATTCTTAGTCTCCAATAAGTTTTCTAAAGAAATTCTTAGTCTCCACTAAGTTTTCTAAATAAATTCTTAGTCTCCACTAAGTTTTCTATAAAAAATCATAGTCTCCACTAAGATTTCTATAGAAAAACATAGTCACCACTAAGTTTCTTATAGAAATACTTAGTCTCCACTAAGTTTCCTATAGAAATACTTTGTCTCCACAAAGTTTTCTATAGAAATATTTTTTCTCCACTAAGTTTTCTATGGAAATACTTAGTCTCCACTAAGTTTTCTATAGAAATACTTAGTCTCCACAAAGTTTTTATAGAAATACTTAGTCTCCACAAAGTTTTCCCTAGAAATACTTAGTCTCCACAAAGTTTTCTATAGAAATAATTAGTCTCCACAAAGTTTTTTTATATTAAAACTTAGTCTCCACTTAGTTTTCTGTAGAAATACTTAGTCTACACTATGTTTTCTATAGAAATACTTAGTCTCCACTTAGTTTTCTATCTAAATACTTAGTCTCCACTAAGTTTTCTATAGAAATACTTAGTCTCCACTAGGTTTTCTATAGAAAAACTTAGTCTCCAATAAGTTTTCTTTAGAAAAACTTAGTCTCCACAAAGTTTTCTATAGAAATACTTAGTCCCCACAAAGTTTTCTATAGAAATACTTAGTCTCCACTAAGTTTTCTATAGAAAAACTTAGTCTCCACAAAGTTTTCCATGGAAATACTTAGTCTCCACTAAGTTTTGTATACAAATTCTTAGTCTCCACTAAGTTTTCTATAGAAAAACTTAGTCTCCACTAAGTTTTCTATAGAAAAACTTAGTCTCCACTAAGTTTTCTAAAGAAAAACTTAGTCTCCACTAAGTTTTCTATAGAAAAACTTAGTCTCCACAAAGTTTTCTAGAGAAACACTTAGTCTCCACTAAGTTTTCTATAAAAATACTTAAGTTTTCTATTCAAATACTTAGTCTCCACTAAGTTTTCTATTCAAATACTTAGTCTCTACTAGTTTTCTAGAAAAATACTTAGTCTCCACAAAGTTTTTAAAGAAAAACTTAGGTTCCACTTAGTTTTCTATTGAAATACTTAGTCTCCACTAAGTTTTCTATAGAAATACTAAGTCTCCACTAAGTTTTCTATAGAAATACTTAGTCTCCACTAAGTTTTCTATAGAAATACTTAGTCTCCACTAAGTTTTCTATAGAAATACTTAGTCTCCACAAAGTTTTCTATAGAAATACTTAGTCTCCACAAAGTTTTCTATGGAAATATTTAGTCTCCACTAAGTTTTCTATGGAAATACTTAATCTCCATAAATTTTTCTATGGAAGTACTTTGTCTCCACTGAGTTTTCTATGGAAATTTTAGTATCCACTGAGTTTTCTATAGAAATATTTAGTCTACACTTAGTTTTATCTAGGATTACTTAGTCTCCACTAAAGTTTTCTATAGAAATACTTAGTCTCCTCAAAGTTTTATTTAGAAATACTTAGTCTTCACTAAGTTTTCTATAGAAACATTTAATTTCCACTAAGTTTTCTACACAAACACTTAGTCTCCACTAAGTCTCCACTAAGTTTTCTATAGAAATACTTAGTCTCCACAAAGTTTTTATAGAAATACTTAGTCTCCACTAAGTTTTCTATAGAAATACTTAGTCTCCACAAAGTTTTCTACAGAAGTACTTAGTCTCCACTCAGTTTTCTATGGAACCACTTTGTCTCCACTAAGTTTTCTATAGAAATACTTAGTCTCCACTAAGTTTTCTATAGAAATACTCAGTCTCCACTAAGTTTTCTATAAAAATTCTTAGTCTCCAATAAGTTTTCTAAAGAAATTCTTAGTCTCCACTAAGTTTTCTAAAGAAATTCTTAGTCTCCACTAAGTTTTCTATAAAAAATCATAGTCTCCACTAAGATTTCTATAGAAAAACATAGTCACCACTAAGTTTCTTATAGAAATACTTAGTCTCCACTAAGTTTCCTATAGAAATACTTTGTCTCCACAAAGTTTTCTATAGAAATATTTTTTCTCCACTAAGTTTTCTATGGAAATACTTAGTCTCCACTAAGTTTTCTATGGAAATACTTAGTCTCCACTAAGTTTTCTATAGAAATACTTAGTCTCCACAAAGTTTTCTATAGAAATACTTAGTCTCCACAAAGTTTTCCCTAGAAATACTTAGTCTCCACAAAGTTTTCTATAGAAATAATTAGTCTCCACAAAGTTTTTTATATTAAAACTTAGTCTCCACTTAGTTTTCTGTAGAAATACTTAGTCTCCACTAAGTTTTCTATAGAAATACTTAGTCTCCACTTAGTTTTCTATCTAAATACTTAGTCTCCACTAAGTTTTCTATAGAAATACTTAGTCTCCACTAGGTTTTCTATAGAAAAACTTAGTCTCCACTAAGTTTTCTTTAGAAAAACTTAGTCTCCACAAAGTTTTCTATAGAAATACTTAGTCTCCACAAAGTTTTCTATAGAAATAATTAGTCTCCACTAAGTTTTCTATAGAAAAACTTAGTCTCCACAAAGTTTTCCATGGAAATACTTAGTCTCCACTAAGTTTTGTATACAAATTCTTAGTCTCCACTAAGTTTTCTATAGAAAAACTTAGTCTCCACTAAGTTTTCTATAGAAAAACTTAGTCTCCACTAAGTTTTCTATAGAAAAACTTAGTCTCCACTAAGTTTTCTATAGAAAAACTTAGTCTCCACTAAGTTTTCTATAGAAAAACTTAGTCTCCACTAAGTTTTCTATAGAAAAACTTAGTCTCCACAAAGTTTTCTAGAGAAACACTTAGTCTCCACTAAGTTTTCTATAAAAATACTTAAGTTTTCTATTCAAATACTTAGTCTCCACTAAGTTTTCTATTCAAATACTTAGTCTCTACTAGTTTTCTAGAAAAATACTTAGTCTCCACAAAGTTTTTAAAGAAAAACTTAGGTTCCACTTAGTTTTCTATTGAAATACTTAGTCTCCACTTAGTTTTCTATGGAAATACTTGGTCTCCACTAAGTTTTCTATGGAAATACTTAGTCTCCACTAAGTTTTCTATGGAAATACTTAGTTTCCAATAAGTTTTCTATGGAAATACTTAGTCTCCACTAAGTTTTCTATGGAAATACTTAGTATCATTGAGTTTTATATAGAAAAACTAAGTCTTCACTAAGTTTTCTATAGAAAAACTAAGTCTACACTATGTTTTCTATAGAAATACTTGGTCTTCACTAAGTTTTCTATACGAATATTTAGTCTAAACTAAGTTTTCTAGAGGAATATTAAGTCTACACTAAATTTACTATTGAAACACTTAGGCTCCACAAAGTGTCCTATAGAAATTCTTAGTCTCCACTAAACTTTCTGTAGAAATACATAGTTTTCGTTAATGTTGCGACAGAAATACTTAGTCTCCACTAAGTTTTCTATAGAAACACTTAGTCTCCACTAAGTTTTCTATAGAAACACTTAGTCTCCACTAGGTGTTCTATAGAAACACTTAGTCTCAACTAAGTTTTTTTAGTCTCCACGAAGTTTTTATAGAAATACTTAGTCTCCACCAAGTCCACTCCAAAACTTAGTCTCCACTAAGTTTTCTATAGAAATACTTAGTTTCCACTAAGTTTTCTATAGAAATACTTAGTCTCCACTAAGTTTTCTATAGAAATACTTAGTCTCCACTAAGTTTTCTATAGAAATACTTAGTTTTCTATAGAAATACTTAGTCTCCACTAAGTTTTCTATAGAAATACTTAGTCTCCACTAAGTTTTCTATAGAAATACTTAGTCTCCACTAAGTTTTCAATAGAAATACTTAGTCTCCACTAAGTTTTCTACAGAAACACTTAGTCTCCACTAAGTTTTCTATTGAAATACTTAGTCTCCACTTAATTTTCTATAGAAATACTTAGTTTTCTATAGAAATACTTAGTCTCCACTAAGTTTTCTATAGAAATACTTAGTCTCCACTAAGTTTTCTATAGAAATACTTAGTCTCCAATAAGTTTTCTGTAGAAATACTTAGTCTCCACAAAGTTTTCTATAGAAATATTTTTCTCCACTAAGTTTTCTATGGAAATACTTAGTCTCCACTAAGTTTTCTATGGAAATACTTAGTCTCCACTAAGTTTTCTATAGAAATACTTAGTCTCCATTAAGTTTTCAATAGAAATACTTAGTCTCCAGTACGTTTTATATAGAAATATATAGTCTCCACTAAGTTTTCTATAGAAATACTTAGTCTCCACTAAGTTTTCTATAGAAATACTTAGTCTCCCCTAAGTTTTCTTTAGAAATACTTAGTCTCCCCTAACTTTTCTCTAAAAAAAACTTAGTCTCCACTAATTTTTCTATGGAAAACGTAGTCTTCACTAAGTTTTCTATGGAAATACATAGTCTCCACTAAGTTTTCTATGGAAATACATAGTCTCCACTAAATTTTCTATGAAAATAGCTTCTTTGAAATAACTTTATATTCACTGCTCTCCATTTCGTTTTGTACAGTACACGTTTGTCTCCTAAAAGTCTCCATTACTGTGGCGGATATTGCATGGCACAAACTTAATTAGAAATCCACCGTTTCAGTGCAGCCAAACACCATCAATGAGCGCATAAATTTCCATTTATTACATTTGTCTCCTGACCATCCACGATGGCTAAAATTGTGTGTGTATGTAGGTGTCTGTGTTAATCAACTTCCACCCACCTCCTGCCAAACATATAACCAGGTGTGAACTCTCCACAACTTTGATGAACTTTTTTCATTTGCATTTTTTTAATAAACCCTTCAAACGAAAACTATGTCAAATTATTGTGGTTGGTTGGCTGACTGGCTAGCTGGTCATTCGAAGGATACCAAAAGGATATGCAAAAACCTAAAGGACTAGTGTTTTAGCAAAGGATTCTCATTTTTTGTTTTTTTTTTTTTTATTTAAAAGGACCAATAGAAAAAAAACATCCAAACATTTATTGCCACTTCAAAAGTTTACGAAATCCAATTCTCGTTGTAATCTCAGGGTCAGCGTAAGTTTTTCCATATCCTTGTCGTATTTGGCCCGGCAGCGATCCACATTCACCGGCTGGCTCAGGGGCAACTTTAGGCGATAAATTGGCGTTGCCAAATCCACTTCGGTGGTGGTTATTGATAGCTGCATTTTATCGGCAGGTGTTGAGTCGCCGGGTAGGAGAATTTCCACAACCAAATCTTCACAGCTTGCCGAGGCATTGGTTCGATTGCCCATTGCAAGATAGATGTCCTCCGTTCCCACAGCCTGACGATAGGTCATTGTGTATTCGGGACATTTACGTGACTCCAGGATATCAACATCTTCCCTTTCCTGTTGCTCATGCCATTCGTCTACGGTGGAGGGTTGTTTGGAATTGGACTTTAATTTGTCATCCTCCTCCAAAGGAGCATAGGGAGAGTTGAAAGTTTTTGTTTGCTCTCCAGCTGCCTTGGCATGTGGAGGACCCAAGTTTCCAGGATCTAAAATGGGGTGTGGCTAATTTTAGAAATTTTCAATTTATTTTTCTATTTGAGGACTTACTCAAATTCTGCTTTATCAATGGTTCCCCTTCCTCCTCCAAATCGGATGCATCATCCTTAGAATCCTCGGGGTTCAAGAGATTCCTTAGCAATTTCAAATGTTCTATGTTTTCAAATAAGGACATTCTTTCCAAATATTTATTTGCTCTGCTTAGTTTCGTTTGAATGTTTTGACTCAAAACTGTTTCAAAATATATTTGATGTTTATTTTTCAGGGTTACCATGACAACGACTGTTGATTTAGCATAACACTGTCATGGAGATGAGACCAAATTAGCTAGGATTTTCAAAAACTAAATTTCAAAGACCAACACAAAAATGTTTGGGTTTTGAAAACATTTTTTATTTCAAAGATTTATCCGAGCCCTTAGTAGGGGATGTTAAAAAGAACATCTGGAAAAGTTTGCACTTTTTTTCAAATAAAACGTTTTGCTGATCCAAGAAAAGAAATTGAATACTTGGATAGAAAACTTAGTGGAGACTAAGTATTTCTATAGAAAACTAAGTGGAGTTCAAGTATTTCTACAGAAAACTTAGTGGAGACCAAGTATTTCTACAGAAACTTAGTACAGATTAAGTATTCCTATACAAAACTTTGTGGAAACTATATATTCGTTAGTGGAGACTAAGTTTTTCTATAGAAAACTTAGTGGAGACTAAATTTTTCTATAGAAAACTTAGTGGAGACTATGTATTTCTGTACAGAACTTAGTGGAGACTAAGTATTTCTGTACGGAACTTAGTGAATACTAAGTTTTTCTATAGAAAACTTAGTGGAGACTAAGTTTTTCTATAGAAAACTTAGTGGAGACTAAGTTTTTCTATAGAAAACTTAGTGGAGACTAAGTTTTTCTATAGAAAACTTAGTGGAGACTAAGTTTTTCTATAGAAAACTTAGTGGAGACTAAGTTTTTCTATAGAAAACTTAGTGGAGACTATGTTTTTCTATAGAAAACTTAGTGGAGACTAAGTATTTCTATAGAAAACTTAGTGGAGACTAAGTATTTTTATAGAAAACTTAGTGGAGACTAAGAATTTCTATAGAAAACTTATTGGAGACTAGGTGTTTCTATAGAAAACTTAGTGGAGACTAAGTTTTTCTATAGTAAACGTTGTGGAGACTTAGTGTTTCTATAGAAAACTTAGTGGAGACTAAGTGTTTCTATAGAAAACTTAGTGGAGACTAAGTATTTCAAAAAAACTTAGTGGAGACTAAGTTATTCTATAGAAAACTTAGTGGAGATTAAGTATTTCAATAGAAAACTTAGTGGAGACTAAGTTTTTCTATAGAAAACTTAGTGGAGACTAAGTTTTTCTATAGAAAACTTAGTGGAGACTAAGTTTTTCTATAGAAAACTTCGTGGAGGCTAAGTTTTTCTATAGAAAACTTAGTGGATACTTAGTATTTCTACGGAAAACTTAGTGCAGACTAAGTATTTCTATAGAAAACTTGGTGGAGACTACGTTTTTCTATAGAAAACTTAGTGGAGACTACGTTTTTTCTATAGAAAACTTAGTGGAGACTACGTTTTTCTATAGAAAACTTAGTGGAGACTAAGTATTTCTATAGAAAACTTAGTGGAGACTAAGTATTTCTATAGAAAACTTAGTGGAGACTACGTTTTTCTAAAGAAAAATTAGTGGAGACTAAGTGTTTCTATCGAAAACTTGTTGGAGACTAGGTTTTCTATAGTGAAGACTAAGGTTTTCTATCGAAAACTTGGTGGATACTACGTTTTCTCTATAGGAAACTTGATAAATTCGGATAAAATTTGCAATGTGGAGACTTTATTTTGTCAACGTAAACTTAGTGGAGACTTACATTTTTTTTCCCAGACAATATTTTCCCCATTGAAATAGAAATGGATGATTATTCAATTGGATCGTCATGTTCATTATTCAGTAAATATCCTACGCCCTTTTGATTCTCTTTTCCCCTCTCCCTTCCCTCTCTCTCTCGCTCTCTCTCTCTCTCTTCAATGTAATAATATTTGTTTTAAATGCTCATTGCTTCTGTGAACCTTTAAACTTTAATGTAATCCTATTACACTTTATGTCCATGGACATGATGGTTATCTGCTTGACCCCTACCCCCCCTTTGATGTCATGTATCGTCCATGTGTAGAGATATGTTTCGACTTGTTATTGTTTTTTTGTACAATTTCCGACATTTATATTTTAAAGCTATTTTCAGCTTTACACTTCTCTGTGGCTGTATTTCAAATAATTTTGTGTTCTACAACGATTTTGAAGTGTTGTGAAACAGGACGTGTCTTGAATAAGACACAACCGATGTGGTTGTTTTTGTTTTTTGTGTTCTTTTTGCTGATTTTCCCAGAAACATGCGGTTTTCCATTTTCTGTGGAGAGAGAAAAAAAAAAAAACAGAAAACCCACAGACAATCTCCAACAAAACAAATTTCAACAAATTCCTCTGTAGCAATCACATGTTGGTGTTGGTTTAGTGGCAGGGTGTTGGGTGGGGTGGTCAGTTTTTCTCCATCTAGAAAATATATATTTTTTTGGAAACAAATTTGAGAAAATACAATTCGTAAAGTGTGAGCAAATATTAGAAACAATGTTGCAGTTGCCACAACAGAATGTGCAGGTTTCCAAGTTGCAGGACAACACGACACATTCTGACGTGTGTTGTTGTCTGTTGTGTCTTTGGGAAATAAGTAAGTAAATGTTACTAAGCCAGCCATATCGTGCAATACACGAATGGTCAATAAAATCCACAATAAAATTGTCTAACCAAGGATAACTGGAAAAAAAGAAAACCAACAACAATTTCACATGAATCGGACACCGACAATGGAGCAATGCAAAGGAAAAAGAAAAGAAAACAACAAATATTTGAGAAGTCTCAACACTGGAGGGGGGGAAACAAAACAAGGGAAGAGGCTTCCAATAACACCGCATGGGAGATGCCATTACAAAGGATAACTGCTCATGGCAGACCACAATTGAATCCTTGTCCTTGTTGTAGTCCTAGTGGTAGTCGTTGATACTCGAGACAAGGGTCCTTAAGACTGGACGAGCAATAACATTTATTTTTTAATATTTATTTAATTCTTATCGTATTCGCTTCGAGAGAGGAGGTAGGGCATCCTACTTAAGGGTTGGATGATTTGAAATATTGACTGCAAAGCGGTAGGATTTTAAGCAAATGAGGCAACAACTCAAGGACAAAAGTCATTATTTCCCTTAGTCTACACAAAATTTAAATTTAAAACAAGGGTCTGCAACTTGGAAAACTTAGTCACCACTAAGTGTCCTCAATTTTTTTTTTTACAGAAATACTTAGTCTCCACGATGTATTCTATAGCAATACTTAGTCTTCACCAAGATTTCTATAGAAATACTTAGTCTTCACCAAGATTTCTATAGAAATACTTAGTCTCCACAAAGTTTTCAATAGAAATACTTAGTCCCCACTAAGTTTTCAATAGAAATACTTAGTTTCCACTAAGTTTTCTATAGAAATACTTAGTCTCCACTAAGTTTTCTATAGAAAAACTTAGTCTCCACTAAGTTTTCTATAGAAATACTTAGTCTCCACAAAGTTTTCTATAGAAATACTTAGTCTCCACTAAGTTTTCTATAGAAATACTTAGTCTCCACTAAGTTTTCTATAGAAATACTAAGTCTTTCCTAAATATTCTATAGAAATAAAAAATTCTATAGTCTCCACTAACTTTTCTATAGAAATACATTTTATCTCCACTAAGTTTTCTATAGAAATAGTTAGTCTCCACTAAGTTTTCTATAGGAAAACCTTGTCTTCACTACGTTTTCTATAAAAATACATAATCTCCACTAAGTTTGCTATAGGAATACTTTGTCTCCACTAAGTTCTTTGTAGAAATACATAGTCTTCACTAAGTTTTCTATAGAAATACTTAGTCTCCACTAAGTTTTCTATAGAAATACTTAGTCTCCACTAAGTTTTCTATAGAAATACTTAGTCTCCACTAAGTTTTCTGTGGAAATACTTAGTCTCCACTAAGTTTTCTGTGGAAATACTTAGTCTCCACTAAGTTTTCTATAGAAAATCTAAGTCTCCACAAAGTTTTCTATAGAAAAACTAAGTCTCCACAAAGTTTTCTATAGAAAAACTAAGTCTCCACCAAGTTTTCTGTATAAATACTTAGTCTCCACTAAGTTTTCTATAGAAACAATTAGTCTCCACTAAGTCTTCTATAGAAAAACTAAGTCTCCACCAAGTTCTCTTTAGAAAAACTAAGTCTCCACTAAGATTTCTATAGAAAAACTAAGTCTCCACCAAGTTTTCTATAAAAACACTTAGTCTCCACAAAAGTTTACTATAGAAATACTAAGTCTCCACAAAGTTTACTATAGAAATACTAAGTCTCCACTGAGTTTTCTATAGAAATCTAAGTCTCCACCAAGTTTCATACAAAACTAAATGAGTCTCCACGTAGTTTTTTTATTAAAAAAACTTGGTCTCCACTACACTTTTCCACAGAAAAATATGGTCTCCATTCAGTTTGCTATATTAAATCTTAGATCTCCACTAACTTATCTACATAAAAATGAGGTCTCACGGAAGTTTTCCAGGTCTCCATGGAGTTTCCAATAGAAAGATTATTGTATGTTCCTTAGCCTTATATTTTACTTATATTGACTCATAATGTGGTGTTTATCCCTAACCCTCCGCCCCATGGCCCGTGCCACAACTTTCTCCAACCATTCGTACCCCCCACCACCCTCAACCTCAAGAGACTAATTTCCATTTTAAGTATCCGCTTAAATGTCTTCTATTAAAATAATCGCCTAACATTGAAAACTGAAAACCCATGCCGAGTCATGGAGAGATACTTAAGACGCATTCGAGTGTTTAACAACAACTTAACCCTGACCTTTGCTGGAGAGAGGGAGGGAGAGAAAGACAAAAACATTCCAAGCAGTGTTAGTAGTTGAATGGAAACTATGGCAGTGTTACGCATACGAGTTTGAGTGGTGCGGTGCGATGCGGTGCTGTGGATGGGGTAATCCATAAGACACATAATAACAACAGTAGCAACAGCAATAACAACAATTTAGCTACAAGTATATCACTCGTAATGAGAGCGAGCGTTAAGAATGACAAATAGAACAAGTCTTAAAGATGATAATTAAACACAAACAAATTGCCGGAGATTTGCAAATTCATGAAAACAAGTACTTAA